TCCCTCCCTCCCTCCCTCCCTCCCTCTGGGGCCTTGCAATTCCTTCCTGGAATTCCCCACTCGGCTGTGGAGCCTCTGGAATTGCAGATTTGGGCTGATTTGTGCTGAAATTTGCCCCCAGCCCCCTGAGCAATGGAGCTTTCCCTGCTGCTGGGAGGCAGCAGCAGCTCCTGCCTCTGCTCTGGGCACGGGGAACTTTGGGATTAGTGCAGGATTTTCCTGGGACGGGTGGGGCCCCAAAAAGACTCGATGCTCCAGCTCTGAGCAGCCCCTTGGTTGTCAAAACTCCACTCCTTGCTTTGGATAAAGCTTCATTTCATCTGGAAATGTACTTTTTTTTTAATAATTTCACCTGGATGAGCACTAATAAGAGACTGTGTGATGATGACGATGATGATGAAGCTGGAGTGTTTGATCCTGTGGATCCTGGCCAGCTCAGCTTTCCCTTTATTTGCACTGAGACACCCAGGGCAGATCTGGATTTATTTATTTATTAATAATTTTATCAGGACAAACAGCACTAAGAGGTTGTGGGATGATGATGATGATGATGATGATGATGATGATGATGATGATAGCAGGCTGAGGGATGATGATGATGGTGATGATGGTGGTGATGAAGCTGGAGTGTTTGATCCCGTGGATCCTGGCCAGCTCAGATTCTGCACAGGACGAATCCTGAGCCTGACTCAGGGCTCTGAAGGGGCTGAGCTCCATCTTGCCTTTCAGCACCCCATCATTAACCTCCCACATCCCCAAAGGCCGGGGTTTTGCAGCCTTTGCCCCACGTTCTCTGGGAAGCTGAGCCGTGGGTCCCGCTGTGCTGGGAGCAATCCAAACCCCCGGGGCTCCTGCCCATGGGGTCCCGCTGTGTTGGGAGCAATCCAAACCCCCGGGGCTCCTGCCCATGGGGTCCCGCTGTGTTGGGAGCAATCCCAGCCCCGGGGCTCCTGCCCATGGGGTCCCGCTGTGTTGGGAGCAATCCCAGCCCCGGGGCTCCTGCCCGTGGGGTCCCGCTGTGTTGGGAGCAATCTTTTCATTTTTATTTTTGTTTTTTTTTTAATTTTATTTTTATTTTATTTTTATTTTCATTTCCTTTTATTTTCTTTTTATTTTAATTTCATTTTTATTTTCATTTTCATTTTTACTTTTATTTTCATTTTCTTTTCTTTTCATTTTCATTTTAGTTTCCTTTTATTTTAATTTCATTTTTATTTTTATTTTTATTTTTATTTTCATTTTCTTTTCATTTTCATTTTCATTTTAATTTCCTTTTATTTTCTCCTTCTTTTCTTTTTATTTTAATTTCATTTTTATTTTTATTTCCATTTTCATTTCTGACCAGGATTTATGCTGGTAACAGCAAAGACACCTTTTCTCACCTTCACCCATCCTCTCTGGGTGGACATCAAAAGCTCCCCTTGTTGTCCCTCCTGGTGAAGGGCTCAGGGCTGGGCTGCACTCCCCGGGGCTCTGCCCAGCACAAACAGATTTTTGGGGTTCTTGTGGCCGAGTTCCTGGTGCTGTGCACTCCTGCCATGGCTCTGCTAAACTTTTTAAACTTTTATTTAAAACCAGGAGGTTTTAACTTTTTAAACTTATTTAAAACCAGGAGTGAACGGAGAGCAAAAAGCTGATTCAGAGGTCAGGAGTGCAGGGAGGAAAGCAGGCCACGCTCCTCCCTCTTTTGCTGGAAATAAATTGAATTTCTGTGGTTTTTGCCACGATCTGCTGCGATTTATTCATTTCATTCTCTTTTTTCCAGGCCACTGATGCTCGCAGAGCTTTCCCTTGCTGGGATGAGCCTGCAATTAAAGCAACGTTTGATATTTCTTTGGTGGTTCCCAAAGACAGAGTAGCTTTGTCAAATATGGTAAGTTTTTAAATATTTTAATTAAATGTGCTGTTGATAATTAATAATTTGCCTTGATAACAGCCGGGAATGAAACCTGCCATAAATGGGGAGAGAAACACAAAATCTGGTGGTTTTAAAAAACTAGAATTGATTTTATGAGCTGCTTGATGAAGAGGGACTGGGGAAAAATCCTTTGTGAGTTTTCCTCTCTGGGTTTCTGTCCAGAGCTGGGATAAAAGGTGGAAGCAGAATAAACACAAACAAACACAAATGAGCATTTTTCATTTGCTGCCTGCACGTGGTTTTAGGTGATGGTACTGGAGAAGAATTGGCTTTATTTAAAAATAGGCTTTATTTATTTGTAAATAAATTATAAATAAATTTATTTCTAAATTAATAAAGCCTGGCCCTGCCACAAAGTTTTTGTGTCTGGGTTTATATCAATAATATGCTAATGTAATAAACAGAAATATAATATGAAAATAATATATCATATGCATTACATAATAATTATAATTTTATTCTCTATAAACATAGTAATATTTATAATTACACTATAACCACATTATAATTAATATTAATATTATTTATGAATATTTTATGGTAATAAAATCACACCTCCAGCTGGGATGGGGCACTTCAGCCATGAGAGAACTCCTTGAAAACCCCAAATCCCTTGAATTTTAACCACAAGGAGGGAATGGTTTCTCCAGCATGTTGGGAATTCCCACTTTGGAGCAGGCACGGTGCACCTGAGGGGTTTTATCCAAACAATGCCAGTCCTGGAGCTGGAAAGTTGCTCCTGATGGTAATTCAGGAGTTATTTTGGAGCAACTCCTGGAATGGTTTGGGATTTAACTCGTTTAGTGAGGACAAAGACATCAGCAGCAGGAGTGAAACCCATCCAGAAATCCCACGTAGAAATTCCATTTCTGGGCGTTCTTTTCAAGCCTCTCTTTCCAAAACCCTTTGTGTCATAAAAAATACAACACTGGGGTAAGAAATCCCCCTTTTGGAGCCCCAAACCCCGAATTTACAACACTGGGGTAAGAAATCCCCCTTTTGGAGCCCCAAACCCCAAATTTACAACACTGGGGTAAGAAATCCCCCTTTGGAGCCCGAACCCCGTTACTGTGCACATCAAACCCCAAATTTACAACACTGGGGTAAGAAATCCCCCTTTGGAGGCCCAAACCCCAAATTTACAACACTGGGGTAACAAATCCCCTTTTGGAGGCCCAAACCCCAAATTTACAACACTGGGATAACAAATCCCCTTTGGGAGCCCCAAACCCCATTTCTCTGTGTGTCAAACCCCAAATTTACAACCCTCGGGTAAGACAACCCCCTTTTGGAGTCCCAAACCCCAAATTTACAACACTGGGGTAAGAAATCCCCCTTTTGGAGCCCCAAACCCCGAATTTATAACACTGGGGTAACAAATCCCCTTTTGGAGGCCCAAACCCCAAATTTACAACACTGGGATAACAAATCCCCTTTGGGAGCCCCAAACCCCATTTCTCTGTGTGTCAAACCCCAAATTTACAACCCTCGGGTAAGAAAACCCCCTTTTGGAGCCCCAAACCCCAAATTTACAACACTGGGGTAAGAAATCCCCCTTTTGGAGCCCCAAACCCCGAATTTATAACACTGGGGTAACAAATCCCCTTTTGGAGCCCCAAACCCCATTTCTCTGCACCTCACACCCCAAATTTACAACCCTGGGGTAACAAATCCCCTTTTGGAGGCCCAAACCCCAAATTTACAACACTGGGATAACAAATCCCCTTTGGGAGCCCCAAACCCCATTTCTCTGTGTGTCAAACCCCAAATTTACAACCCTCGGGTAAGACAACCCCCTTTTGGAGTCCCAAACCCCAAATTTACAACACTGGGGTAAGAAATCCCCCTTTTGGAGCCCCAAACCCCGAATTTATAACACTGGGGTAACAAATCCCCTTTTGGAGCCCCAAGCCCGTTTCTCTGCACCTCACACCCCACGTCCCCTGCTGTTGCCCAGAACGTGGTGGAGCGGCGGCCGTACCCCGACGACGAGAGCCTGGTGGAGGTGAAGTTCGCGCGCTCGCCGGTCATGTCCACGTACCTGGTGGCCTTCGTGGTGGGCGAGTACGACTTCGTGGAAGCGCGCTCACAGGACGGCGTGCTGGTGCGCGTCTACACGCCCGTGGGCAAGGCCGAGCAGGGCAGGGTCGCCCTGGAGGTAAATCTGGGACGGGTTTGGGGTCTGGGCACTGCTGAAATCAGCCAGTTTTTGGGGTTTTTGGTGGGTTGTAGACATGCACAGTATCCTGGTACGCGTCTACACGCCCGTGGGCAAGGCCAAGCAGGGCAGGTTCGCCCTGGAGGTAAATCTGGGACGGGTTTGGGGTCTGGGCACTGCTGAAATCAGTGAGTTTTGGGGTTTTTTTGTGGTGTTTTGTGGTTCTTTTGGGTTTTTTTTGGGTTTCTGGTGGGTTGTAGACGCGTGCCGTGCTGGTGCGCATCTACACGCCCGTGGGCAAGGCCGAGCAGGGCAAGTTCACCCTGGAGGTAAATCTGGATCAGGTCTAGGGGATTTGGGGTCTGGGCACTGCTGAAATCAGTGAGTTTTGGGGGTTTTATGGGGTGTTTTGTGGTTCTTTTGGGTTTTTTTGGGGTTCTTTTGGGGTTTTTGGTGGGTTGTAGACACACACGGTATCCTGGTGCGCGTCTACACGCCCGTGGGCAAGGCCGAGCAGGGCAGGTTTGCCCTGGAGGTAAGGCTGGGGGTGTGGGGTCTGGGCAGTACTGAAATCAGTTAGTTTTGGGGGTTTTATGGGGTGTTTTGTGGTTCTTTTGGGTTTTTTTTGGGTTTCTGGTGGGTTGTAGATGCGTGCCGTGCTGGTGTGTGTCTACACGCCTGTGGGCAAGGTCGAGCAGGGCAGGTTCGCCCTGGAGGTAAGTCTGGGACGGGTTTGGGGTCTGGTCACCACTGAAATCAGTGAGTTTTGGGGTTTTTTTGTGGTGTTTTGTGGTTCTTTTGGGTTTTTTTGGGGTTCTTTTGGGGTTTTTGGTGGGTTGTAGACACGCGCGGTGTCCTGGTGCGCATCTACACGCCCGTGGGCAAGGCCGAGCAGGGCAAGTTCACCCTGGAGGTAAATCTGGATCAGGTCTAGGGGATTTGGGGTCTGGGCACTGCTGAAATCAGTGAGTTTTGGGGGTTTTATGGGGTGTTTTGTGGTTCTTTTGGGTTTTTTTGGGGTTCTTTTGGGGTTTTTGGTGGGTTTTAGACACGCGCATTGTCCTGGTGCGCGTCTACACGCCCGTGGGCAAGGCCGAGCAGGGCAAGTTTGCCGTGGAGGTAAATCTGGAGCAGGTCTGGGGGGTTTGGGGTCTGGTCACTACTGAAATCAGCCAGTTTGGGGTTTTTTATGTTTTTTTGAGTTTTTATGTTGGTTGTATTCCTGGTTTTTGGGTTTTTTTTTGCCAAGCAGGGCAAGTTCACCCTGGAGGTAAATCTGGGAAAGGTTTGGGGGGTTTGGGGTCTGGGCACTACTGAAATCAGCCGTTTGGGATTTTTTGTGGTTTTTTGGGTTTTTATGTTGGTTGTATTCCTGCTTTTTGGGTTTTTTTTTGCCAAGCAGTGCAAGTTCACCCCGGAGGTAAATCTGGGTCAAGCCTGGGGGGTTTGGGGTCTGGTCATTCACTGAAATCTGGCAGTTTTGATGTTTCTTTCCTAGTTTCAGTCATAAATTCTTAGTTTCATTTATAATTTTCTAAATTCAACCATAATTTCTTCGTTTCAGTCATAATTCCTTAGTTTCAATCCTAATTTCTTAACTGCAGTCACAATTTCTTTGTTTCAGTCAGAATTTCCTAGTTTCAACCATAATTCCTTAGTTTCAGTCACAATTTCCCAAGTGTTGCCCAGTTCCAGGTTAACAGAAGATTTCTTTTCTCGTTTCTTACAGGTTGCTGCTAAAACTCTGCCTTTTTATAAGGACTACTTCAATGTTCCTTACCCTCTTCCTAAAATTGATCTCATAGCTATTGCAGACTTTGCTGCTGGTAAAGTAACTCGTTTTATTGCTGAAATTGTGTTTTGTTTGAATTTTTGTATTAAAATACCTTTAGGAAGAGGTGTGGATCAATATCAATAAACCTTTGTATTTATTTTATAAAGGTGCCATGGAGAACTGGGGCCTTGTTACTTATAGGTATGATGTTAAAATACTGTCTTTCCCCCTCTTTGTTCATTAATTCTTGGAGTTAATTGGATTCATTTGAGGCAGCTCTAATTGCTGGGTGTCATCCCAAATCAGACAGAGCCAATCCTTTCGATTTTTAGTTTGGTTTGGATGATTTTGGTGGTGTTGTGGCAGCTCAGGAAGGCAAAAATCAGCCACTGGCTGAGGGTTTGAAATTGAAAAAACCTTCTTGGCCCCTTTTTTTCCCCCATAAAATCTCCTGACACAGCTGGGAGAGTTTATTTTATCTCATAGGTAAATTTGGCAGCCACAGAGTAAAGGCGTGGAGATGGGAAAATCAAAAATATTAACTCACCTTCCTTTGCAGTTTGAGTTTTTTTACTTCTTCTGATCAAGCTTTTGCACTTTTGCTTGATATTAATTTGTTTTCTGTGCTGGTGGTCAGGAGGATTTCCCTGAATTTTGAACAACTTGTAAGCTTTGGACTTTGAACCCTGAAATCATTTGGGATTTCTTCTGCTCAGCTTTGAATTTGGCCTTAAAAAAAACCAAAACAAATTCGAGCCCAGGTTTTAAATTTTTCTCTCATTATTGCAATTCTGATGAAATCTGATATTTTATTCCTAGTGGGGAAAAAACTGTAAATATATTTATCCTGGATGAGGAGAATTTTTGGGATGGAGCTGTGAAATTTTGCCCCTTTGTGCTGAGTTTGCTCTGCCCCTTTTGGGGACCTGCAGGCACCATCCTTGGGGAGCTTCTTCCCTGGAATTTCAGCATTCCAGAGCTCCCTCAGCAGGGCTGGGAGGAGAAATTGCTGTTGGCACCTCTTGGAAGAGCCAGAATTCCTTTGGGAATGCTGAGGGGGGCAGGATCTGCGCCCACCCCGGAGCACAGGGGGAGCTGAGCTTCCAAAAGTTCCCTAGGGGAGCATTTTGATAAATAAAAACTACATTTTCCTCCTTCTGCCTGGGCTTTTTTTTCCTCCACTTCTTGCATGCCATAAAATATCTCCTGCTCCAAAGCACTCCAGCAGCTCTGGAACTCACTGAGAATTTCATGGCTACAGCTACATTGAAATAGATTTTGGGTTGGTTTTTTGGGCTTTTTTTTCCTCTCTTAGGTAATTTCACCTCCTGTGGGTTGTGGTTTTTTGTCCCCCCGGGGCCGTCCCCTCCTGCTGAGCTGTGCTTTTCTCTCCACCACAGGGAGACCGCGTTGCTCATCGACCCCAAGAATTCCTGCTCCTCGTCCCGCCAGTGGGTGGCTCTGGTGGTGGGGCACGAGCTGGCCCACCAGTGGTTTGGGAACCTCGTCACCATGGTACCTCAGCCCCCCAAATCCCCCTCTTTATTTCAGTCTGCCCCCAAGGTCCCTAAACAGCAGCACCTTGTGATAGCATCATTAATTTAATATTAGGTTTATGGTAGCTAACCCTTCAAAATCCCATTTTTTATTTAAATCTGCCTCCTGTCCTGCCCAAAATCTGGGTTTCCATGCCCCTAAACAGCAGCACTGTGATAGCATAATTAACTTAATATTTAAATGGTGGTTTATGGTAGCTAACCCTTCAAAATCCCATTTTTTATTTCAATCTGCCTCCTGTCCTGCCCAAAGTCTGCGTTTGCATGCCCCTAAACAGCAGCACTGTGATAGCATCATTAATTTAATATTTAAATGGTGGTTTATGATACCTAGACCCTCCAAAATCCCTTTTTTGATTTAAAATCGCTCCGTCTTGTGCCCAAATGTGTGTCTGGGTGCCCCTGAGCAGCAGCACGCTGCGTTGCAAGGGTGGATTTTGTCCTCTATTGCCCAAATGTGTGTCTGGGTGCCCCCGAGCAGCAGCACGCTGCGTTGCAAGGGTGGATTTTGTGCTCCATCCCTGTTTTTCCGTGTCCCTGCAGGAGTGGTGGACCCACCTGTGGCTGAACGAGGGCTTTGCCTCGTGGATCGAGTACCTGTGCGTGGATCACTGCTTCCCCGAGTACGACATCTGGACCCAGTTCGTGTCTGCCGACTACACGCGAGCCCAGGAGCTCGATGCCTTAGACAACAGCCACCCCATCGAGGTCAGTCCTGCTTTTCCAGCCTTTTTCCCCCCCGTTCCCTGCGATGGAAAAGGGAATTTTGTGGTGGTGGCCGAGCCAAGCGCGGTCCGGAGCCGCTCTGCGGGTTCCGCTCTGCCTGTGCCCCAAAAAACTCCCTTGCAACCCCTAGACATCTAATTCCTGTGGATTCTAATGTTTTACAGAATATTTGGTGAAATAAGTTTTGGGAAATTACCTTATCCAGCAGGGCATTTTAATGATTTGCTCCCTGTCTTGCCCGCTGTCCCTGGATTTAATAATTGTAACAATCTTAATCCTGATTTAACAAAAGATTCGCTGTTTTTGGGAAGCCAAGGATTGAAGGAAGATCCCAAATTTATCTGTTCCAGCACCAAAACATAACTTAAACCATGCTTCACTTCCAAACCAGCCCTGACCCAGCCATATCTGGGGGATTTTCCTTGCCTGGGGGCAGAGATTCCTCTCAGACAATCCAGCAGTGGGAGAGGAGAGAAAGAATCCCTCAGACTTTCACCTCTAAAACCGACATTTCCCCTCAGATTTCCACCTCTAGAGCACTGCCGTGAGCAAAATGCCTTTTTTGGCTGCTCAGAGCCTTCTCACTGGGGGCTGTGGTGCTTCCCACAGGTCAGCGTGGGCCATCCCTCCGAGGTGGATGAAATATTTGATGCCATTTCCTACAGCAAGGGAGCCTCTGTGATCCGCATGCTGCACGACTACATTGGGGACGAGGTACAGCCATGGGAACTGGGGCTTTCCAGGGCGTTTTTTACACCTAAACTTGCTCAGGTGGAGATTTTCAGGGCGGTTTTTGCAGCTAAACTTGCTCAAGTGGAGATTTTCTGGGCATTTTTTGCAGCTAAACTTGCTCAGGTGGAGATTTCCAGGGCGTTTTTTGCAGCTAAACTTGCTCAGGTGGAGATTTCCAGGGCGTTTTTTGCAGCTAAACTTGCTCAGGTGGAGATTTTCAGGGCATTTTTTACAGCTAAACTTGCTCAGGTGGAGAGTTTCAGGGCGTTTTTTACAGCTAAAATTGCTCAGGTGGAGATTTTCAGGGCATTTTTTGCAGCTAAACTTGCTCAGGTGGAGATTTTCAGGGCGTTTTTTGCAGCTAAACTTGCTCAGGTGGAGATTTCCAGGGCGATTTTTGCAGCTAAACTTGCTCAGGTGGAGATTTCCAGGGTGTTTTTTACAGCTAAAATTGCTCAGGTGGAGATTTCCAGGGCATTTTTTACAGCTAAACTTGCTCAGGTGGAGATTTTGGGGGCTGTGGTGCTTCCCACAGGTCAGCGTGGGCCATCCCTCCGAGGTGGATGAAATATTTGATGCCATTTCCTACAGCAAGGGAGCCTCTGTGATCCGCATGCTGCACGACTACATTGGGGACGAGGTACAGCCATGGGAACTGGGGCTTTCCAGGGCGATTTTTGCAGCTAAACTTGCTCAGGTGGAGATTTTCAGGGCGTTTTTTACACCTAAACTTGCTCAGGTGGAGATTTTCAGGGCGGTTTTTGCAGCTAAACTTGCTCAAGTGGAGATTTTCTGGGCATTTTTTGCAGCTAAACTTGCTCAGGTGGAGATTTTCAGGGCATTTTTTGCAGCTAAACTTGCTCAGGTGGAGATTTTCAGGGTGTTTTTTACACCTAAACTTGCTCAAGTGGAGATTTTCAGGGCGTTTTTTGCAGCTAAACTTGCTCAGGTGGAGATTTCCAGGGCATTTTTTACAGCTAAAATTACTGGGGTTTAAAAAAAAAAAAGAAGTCTTTCTGTGTTTTGAAAATTTCTCCACTTCGAGAAACGAGATAATGGGAAATAGAGAAGGAATTCCTGATTTTAAAGATTCCTTGCCTGATCCCTGGGGATGAAAGCAGAGCAGGAGGGGGATGGGAAATCCCTGTGACATCTGCACTTGTGTGTTCCCAGGATTTCCGGAAAGGAATGAACCTGTACCTGACCAAGTTCCAGCAGAGGAATGCTGCCACAGGTAACTGGGTCACTGGGATGGCCACAAAAGGTATTTTTGGACTCAAAACTGCTGGTTTTCCACCTGAAATAATTGAAATTCCAGGAAATTCCTGCCTTGTTCCCAGTTTCATGCCCTGCATGGGAAGGATGGAGCATGCCTGGGGATTTTCTGATTTTTTCAAGGGCTGAGTTACCACTGAAAAATATCTTACAAATATTCCTTGGTTTGCCAGGAGAGCCTTCTGCAGTATTGATCCTGTGATTAAACAGGTCAAAGTCTGAGATTTTTGCTTTTAAACCTTCTATTTTTGGGTATCAGGCACAAATGTGGAGGTGGGGACATCAAAGCCCAATCAGCCAAATCCAATCTGTGGTGTTTGATCAGTGATTTTTAACATAATACATTAAAAAGCTAAAGGGAAATGTTCTCTTTTAATATTTAATGTTAATTTTGGCATCACAATGTGTATTGATTGGGCTTTTTTAGCAGTAAAGAAGCTGCTTTCCCCCTCTGTCCTTCCTGAGGAGGTTTAAATTATTTTCTTTTTTTTTTTTTTTTTTTTTTTTTGCCTGTCATCTGTTAAATTCCAACAAAACACAAGGTGGAGTAAGAACCCAACTTTCCCTGTGCTGTCCCTGATAAAACCTGATTCAAATCCTTCTCTCCTGCAGAGGATCTCTGGGAAAGCCTGGAAAAAGCCAGTGGCAAACCCATTGCTGCTGTGATGAACACGTGGACCAAACAAATGGGATTTCCCCTCATTTACGTGGAGGCTGAACAGGTGAAAGTGGAGCTGGGCCTTAATTTCAGATCAGATCTAACAATAGTCTCTGGTTTCGGGCATTGCCTTGGGTCAGGGATTATAAAATGGAATTGTGCCTTAATTTTGGATCAGACTGAACACTATTCCCTGGTCCAGGTGATTCCCGTGGCTCAGGGATTATAAAATGGAATTGTGCCTTAATTTTGGATCAGACTGAACACTATTCCCTGGTCCAGGTGATTCCCGTGGCTCAGGGATTATAAAATGGAATTGTGCCTTAATTTTGGATCAGACTGAACACTATTCCCTGGTCCAGGTGATTCCCGTGGCTCAGGGATTATAAAATGGAATTGTGCCTTAATTTTGGATCAGACTGAACACTATTCCCTGGTCCAGGTGATTCCCGTGGCTCAGGGATTATAAAATGGAATTGTGCCTTAATTTTCGATCAAATGGAACCATATTCCCTGATTTAGGGCATTGCCTTGGATCAGGAGTGATAAAATGGAATTGTACCTTAATTTTGGATCAGACTGAACACTATTCCCTGGTCCAGGTCATTCCCGTGGGTCAGGGATGATAAAATGGAATTGTACCTTAATTTTGGATCAGACTGAACACTATTCCCTGGTCCAGGTCATTCCCGTGGGTCAGGGATGATAAAATGGAATTGTACCTTAATTTTGGATCAGACTGAACACTATTCCCTGGTCCAGGTCATTCCCGTGGGTCAGGGATGATAAAATGGAATTGTGCCTTGGTTTGGACCAGCTTTAACACTATTCCCTGGTCCAGGTCATTCCCGTGGGTCAGGGATTATAAAATGGAATTGTGCCTTAATTTTGGATCAAATGGAACCATATTCCCTGATTTTGGGCATTCCCTTGGATCAGGAGTGGTAAAAATGAAATTGTGCCTTAATTTTGGATCAAATGGAACCATATTCCCTGATTTTGGGCATTCCCTTGGATCAGACATTATAAAATGGAACTGTGCCTTGGTTTTGGACCAGCTTTAACACTATTCCCTGATTTTGGGCATTCCCGTGGGTCAGGGAAGCCCCCCGTGGGCACAGCTCTGCTTCTGAGGGGCAGGAGGTGCCAAATCCCTGTGGCTTCATCCCAAAACTGCCCGCATCCCTGGAGTTTGCTGACTTTGGGAAATGTTTGTGGGGGGAGGGAATCATTCTGCTGCAATTGTGCTTATTCCACAACTGCAGGATGGGGGAGGCTCCAGGCGTTTTCTGAGGGGAAAAACCCAAATTATGCCATGGAACAGGGGGCAGTGACACACAGGGACTGCAGTTAAACGTGCTAATCGTCCCCTTTTCTCATTTTCTTGCCTTTTTACATTTTTTTAAACATTTTTTTCCCTCAGCAAGAAGATGACAAAGTGTTGAAGTTGGTCCAGAAGAAATTCTGTGCCAGTGGACCATATACTGGTAAGAGGAGAGCTGGAGAAGGAATGGCTGGGCACAGAACCACAAAACCTCCCCATTCTGAAGAGATATTCTTGGTTTTTGTTGTTTTTCATCCAAAAGCACCAATTTTGGGAGCTGATGCAGCCCCAGGCCTGTGCTCTGCCTGGATCCAGGTGGGAAAATCTGAGGAAATCCAAGTTTGGGCCTTTCCCACTTGTGGTTCCCATATCCTGCCATGGAGAGCAGCATTCCTTGGCTCAAAATTCTTCCAGAAATGTCAATTTTAGGGCCAGGGCTCTCTGAGGGGCTGGGGAGCAGCTGCTTTGTGGTGGTGCTGAAATAAATGAAATACAAACCCCTCAGGTGGGAGCCACCACGGATTCCAGCAGTGGTTCCACTCACCTTCCCTGCTTATCCAAATTAAAATGTTTGTCTTGAAGATTTTTGGGGCTTTCACCTCTAAAACTCATTTCCATACAGATTTTTTACTTCTAAAACTGCCACTTCCCCTCAGATTTTTTACCTCTAACCCCAACACATCCCCTCAGATTTTTACCCGAAGAACTTTCAGATTTTGGCCTCGTTTCCCCGTCCCCTCCAGCGCTGCGCCGGGCGCTTTTGAGCCGTTTCTCCGAGTTTTCCCCCCAGTTTCCCCTGCTCTGCTGTGTTCCAGGGGAGGATTTCCCCACGTGGATGGTGCCCATCAGCATTTGCACGAGCGAGGACCCCAGCTGTGCCAAAATGCAGGTTCTGATGGACAAAGCCGAGCTCACCGTGGTGTTGAAGGACACCAAGCCCGAGCACTGGGTCAAGGTGAGCCTGCACCTTCCTTCCCTCCTCCCCTTGTTTCCCTTTCCCCCTGGAATTTCACTTTTCCTCTGGAAAAACCTCCTTCCTTCCCCGTGCTCCTGTGGGAATTGGTTCCCATTGCTCCCCTTTCTTTCCCGTTTTCCTGCAATGTCAACTGGAATTCTTTGGGGATTCAAGCCTGGGAAAAATGTGAAGTTAAAGGCAGGGTTTGAGTTGAGATGTGGTGGTTTTTTTAGTCATTGTTATCATTATTATTGCAATTATTGTTCTTGTGGTTCTTGCATATTGCAATTATTGTTCTTATGGTTACTGTATATTGCAGTTATTGTTCTTCTGGTTATTGCATATTGCAGTTATTGTTCTTGTGGTTATTGCATATTGCAATTATTGTTCTTCTGGTTATTGCATATTGCAGTTATTGTTCTTCTGGTTATTGTGTTATTGTCTCATTACCATTATAGTAATCATTTCAATCATTATATACTTTATGCCATCTATTAAATATATTCTCTTATTATATTTATATTTAAATTCTTAACTATATATATATATGCTATAAGTCTATATGTGATATTGTTTTAATGAATATAAATGCATGCAATATATTTATATATCTAAATTATAATTTCTATATCAATATAGTATATATTAATACATAATTTAATATATTGGTTTGCTATATATAGTTTTTCTACATATGCTTTTTATATATAAAACACATATAGAGAGAGGCATATTTTAGAGAAATGTGAAGAATTATTTTAGAGAAATGTGAAGAATTATTTTAGATAAACATGAAGATTTATTTTAGAGAAATATGCATAAATGTAAAAGCCTACTTTAAATATATCACAATATAAAGATATATTTTTTGATAAGTAGATACAGATACAAAGATATTTCAGATAAATGGCTGTAAAGTTTCAGTAGATGAGTATAAATACAAATACATATTTTAGATAAATATGAATAGATACAAAGACATGTTTTACATATATATACACATATTTTACACATATATATACACACATATTTTACATATATACACACATTTTACACATATATATACACATATTTTACATGTATATACACATATTTTACATGTATATACACATATTTTACATATATATACACATATTTGACACATATATACACACATATTTTACATGTATATACACATATTTTACATATATATATATACATATTTTACACATATATATACACACACATTTTACACATATATACACATATTTTACACATATATACACATATATTTCACACATATATATACACATATTTTACATATATACACACATATTTTACATGTATACACATACATTTTACACATATATATACACATATTTTACATATATATATATACATATTTTACACATATATATACACACACATTTTACACATATATACACACATTTTACACACATGTATACACACATTTTACACATATATATATATTTTACATATATATACACATGTTACACATATATACACATATTTTACATATATATACACACATTTTATATACACACACACATTTTACACATATATATGCACATATTTTACACATATATACACACACATTTTGCACATATATATACACGTATTTTACATATATACACACATATTTTACATGTATATACACATATTTCACACATATATACACACATATTTTACATATATATACACACATTTTATATATATACACACATTTTACACATATATATACACATATTTTACATATATAAACACATATTTTACATGTATATACACACATTTTACACATATGTACACATATTTTACATGTATATACACACATTTTACACACATATATACAGATATTTTACAGACATATCCACACACACGTTTTGCAGAAGTACTCAAGTACACACAGACACAAATCCCAGTTTCTGCAGTCCCAGCCGTGAACGACGTTGTGTTTGTGCGCACGAACACCGAGCTCCGTTCAAAGGCACGCGGGCACAGCCCGAGTTCAGGCATGGAGCACGAGTGTCAGTGTGTGTGTGAGTGTGTCAGTGTGTGTGTGAGTGTGTCAGTGTGTGTGTGTGTGTGTGAGTGTGTGTCAGTGTGTGTGTGAGTGTGTGTGTGTGTGAGTGTGTCAGTGTGTGTCACTGTGTGTGAGTGTGTCACTGTGTGTGAGTGTGTCAGTGTCACTGTGTGTGTGTGTCAGTGTGTGTCAGTGTGTCACTGTGTGTGTGTGTGTCAGTGTGTGTGAGTGTGTCAGTGTCAGTGTGTCACTGTGTGTGAGTGTGTCAGTGTGAGTGTGTCAGTGTCAGTGTGTGTGAGTGTGTGTGTCAGTGTGTCAGTGTGTCAGTGTCACTGTGTGTGTGAGTGTGTGTGTGTGTGAGTGTGTCAGTGTGTGTGAGTGTGTCAGTGTGAGTGAGTGTGTCAGTGTGTGTGTGTGTCAGTGTGAGTGTGTGTGAGTGTGTCACTGTGTGTGTGAGTGTGTCAGTGTGTGTCACTGTGTGTGAGTGTGTCACTGTGTGTGAGTGTGTCACTGTGTCACTGTGTGAGTGTGAGTTCCCGGTGCTGAGCCGTGCTCTCTGTGCAGCTGAACCTGGGCACCGTGGGTTTCTACCGCACGCAGTACAGCGCGGCCATGCTGCAGAGCCTGATCCCCGCCGTGCGCGACCTGTCCCTGCCGCCCGTCGACAGGCTGGGGCTGCAGAACGACCTCTTCTCCCTGGTGAGCCCGGGAGGGGGCTGCAAACTGGGGAGGGGGCTGGGGACTGGGGCTGGAAACTGGGGAGTGGGGCTGGAAACTGGGGAGGGGGGGGAGATCATCTGGGAATGGGGGGATCCTCTGGGAATGGGGCTAAATCATCTAGGAACAGGAGAAATCTTCTGGGAATGGAGAAAATCATCTGGGAATGGGAGAATCCCATTAAAAATGGGATTAATCCCTGTATTTTCCTAACAATCACTAAAGTAAATTAATGAGCTATTAAAAAAGGGGACTAAGCTCCTTTTACCTGTGTCCTGCTGCTCCCCAGGCCCGAGCTGGCATCATCAGCACCGTGGAGGTGCTGAAGGTGATGGAAGCGTTTGTGAACGAGCCCAACTACACGGTGTGGAGCGACCTGAGCTGCAACCTGGGCATCCTGGGCACGCTGCTGTCCCACACAGACTTCCACGAGGACTTCCAGCTCTTCGTCAGGGACGTCTTCTCCCCCATCGGGGAGAGGCTGGGCTGGGACCCCCGACCTGGAGAGGGTAGGGGGCTCTGCTGGGGGGCTGGAGGGCAGCTGGCGTTTGGGGGAGCTGCTGGGGAACCCAGCCTGGGATGGGTAAACATCAGCAGGGTTTGGGGGGAATCCAGCCTGGGGTGGGTAAACATCAGCAGGGGTTTGGGGGAAAATTCTGGGAAATCCAGCCTGGGGTGGGTGAAAATCAGCAGGGTTTGGGGGGAACTGCTGGGAAATCCAGCTGTGGGGTGGGTAAACATCAGCAGGGGTTGGGGGGGAAATGCTGGGAAATCCAGCTGTGGGGTGGGTAAACATCAGCAGGGTTTGGGGGGAATCCAGCTGTGGGGTGGGTGAACATCAGCAGGGTTTGGGGGGAAATGCTGGGGAATCCAGCCTGGGGTGGTAAAAATGTTTGTCTCCCAAATAGTCCCATTTTTCTGTTCTTTCTCACTCCTTGACCCTCCTGAGGGGTCTGGTTTTGGGAAAACTGGGAAAAGCTCTTAAATAATCCCATTTATCCATTTTCTCTCACTCCTAGTCCTTCCTGAGAGGTCTGGCCTTGAGAAAACTGGGAAAAGCTCCCAGTTAATCCCATTTTTCCATTCTTTCTTACTTCTAGACCCTCCTGAGGGAGCTAGTTTTGATAAAACAGGGAAAAGCTCCCAAATAATGCCATTTTCCTGCTTTTCCTCCCTCCTAGGCCACCTGGATGCCCTGCTGAGGGGGCTGGTTCTGGGCAAGCTGGGCAAGGCCGGGCACAAGGCGACGCTGGAGGAGGCGCGGCGCCGCTTCAAGGAGCACGTGGAAGGGAAGCACGTCCTGTCTGCTGACCTGAGGAGCCCTGTAGGTGCTGGGGGGCTTTGGGGTCCCCTCAAGCTGCCCCCTGCCCCTGGCAGCTGTATTCCAAAGGGTAGGGAGTGAGGGGGAAGCAGGGTGGGAGATGGGAGCATCCCTCCTTTTGTCGTCCTGGATTTTCCCGCTTTTGGAATTGCCAGAATTCTCCTGAAATGGAGGAAAACGTCCAAGAGTTGAAGCATCTCTGCAGTGCAGAGTTAGAACCCAGGAGGGAGCAGGGCTGCTGCTTCCAGATGTGGGAATTCCAACCCAACTCCATGCAAACTGCTGCTTTTCCAGAAGTGTGATGGGTTTTTTTCCCTGGTTTTCTCCCAGGTCTACGTGACCGTGCTGAAGCACGGGGACAGCTCCACCCTGGACACCATGCTGAAGGTGGGTGCTCACCCCCCAAAACCCCTCATTTCCCCCTAAAAACCCCTCTGGGCTGGGGTTTATCCACACCCAGTCCCTGGTGCTGTGAAATTCCCTTGGGAATTTCTCCCTGTGCATAAACTGGTGAAAATCACTTTATTCCTCGGAATAAGGGCGCCGCCAGCCAGGCCAATTTGTCCCTGATCAGCTTTGCTGAGTAATTAGCAGCTCTGGCAGCCAGGAGGGCTCGTTAGGGCTGGAATTAAGGATGAATTACTGTCGGGATGTGTTTCCCCTCAGCTGCACAAGCAGGCTGACATGCAGGAGGAGAAGAACCGCATCGAGCGCGTCCTCGGGGCCATCTCCCAGCCAGAGCTGATCCAGAAAGTTCTCACCTTTGCACTTTCAGTGAGTTCCTCCCCTGGCACCTTCCTGGGTCACCTGGGCTGGGCTGAGCCTGCAGGAATCCTCCTCACGCTTGGAGCTGTGTCTTCACTTGGGCAAATTCCAAATGAAGAAAGAATTGGCTGAGCTGGGTCCAAAGGAAGAAAAATTTGGCTGAGCTGGGTCCAAATGAAGAAAAATTTGGCTGCGCTGGGTCCAAATGAAGAAAAATTTGGCTGAGTTGGGTCCATATTAAGAAGAAATTGACTGAATTTGGTCCAAATTAAGAAAAATCTGAATGAATTGGATCCAATTTAAGAAAAATCTGAGAGTAGGTTCAGAGTAACACAAATCTGAGAGCCTTGGTTCCAAGTTAACAAAAATTTGAGTGAGCTGGATCCAGATTAACAAAAATCTGAGAGAGTTGGTTCCAAATTAACAAAAAATCTGAGAAAGGTGGTTCCAAATTAAAAAACCTCTGGATGAGCTGATGCCAAATTAAGGAAATTGGGATTTGTCTGGTTGGAGGCACCTGCTCTGGGGATTTTGTGTGTTCAGAGCAGTTCATTCCCTGGTGCTTTGGAAATTAATCCCAATTTTCCTGGCACTGCTCTGCTCCCAGCACCAATCCCCAGGAAGCCAAAATGCAGTTTGACCTCTCAATTTACCACAGAGCCAAAATAATCTCTCTAAATTTTTCCTTTTTTAGTAAAAATAAGATTTTCTTGCTGGGTGTAACCTGAGGATAACTCAGGGATTTGCTTCCCCTTCAATCTTTGAGCTGCACGTTCAATTTTGGGGTAAAAGATTTGCTTTAATTGACAGATTGGGCTGTAGAAATACCAAAACCTCAGGGCAAGGAGCAGGAATTGTTGTGGAAATGCAGAATGCTGATCCCATTTCCCTCCCCAGGAAGAGGTACGTCCCCAGGACACGGTGTCAGTGATTGGAGGAGTGGCTGGGGGCAGCAAGCAGGGCAGGAAAGCTGCTTGGAAATTCGTGAGGGACAACTGGGAGGAGCTTTACAATCGATACCAAGGTGGATTCCTAATATCCAGGTTAATAAAGGTACGTGGGGCCCTGGGGAGGAGCCCTTCCCTCCCATCTGGGGCTGCACATGGTGAACTTCACTTTAATGCTGGGCTTTTCCCCCTTCAGCTCACAGTGGATGGGTTTGCAAATGACAAAATGGCTGCAGAAGTGAAGGTAAGAAGCTTTAATTAAAGAATTTATTAATTAGTCACTGATAAACTTGGGGTGTCCTGGCTGGAAGGAAAAAAAAGATCCTGGTGGGTTTTGTTGTTCTGTCCCAAAACTGCCCCTCTTGAGTTGGATAAAATATTATTGAAATGCCTTAAATCAGCGTTGTGGAAGAAATCTGGAATTTCCACTGATTTGTTCTTCACTGATTTCAATTTTGACAAAATCCAGCAGAGTTTGGCAGCAGCTTTGAGCCTCCCAAAAAAAGAAAACTTTGAAATATTCAGGATTATCCCAACCTCCATCATTGGCAGAGCTCTGAGAGTGGGTGTGGATTTCATTGTTTATTCTTTCCCCACATTTTCCCAAGAATATCTTGAAAGAAGAAACTTTAAAATAGGACTGTTAATTTGTTAATTAGCACTTTTTTTTAGTTAGGAAAGCACTCAGGAGGAATTGTTATTCCAAACATCAGCTGAGCCCTGAGCTGGCTCTGTCCTTTTTATCATTTAGTGACTTTTCTTAGTAAAGATTTAAGAGCAGAAATGATTTTACAGAGAAATTTTGCATTAGAATTTATTTTATTTTCTTTTTTTTGCAAAACACTGAGCGGGAAAACCAGCCCTGATTAACTCCCAGCTCATTTCCAAGAGAATTCCTGACCTTTGAGTGGGAATTTCCCACGTCTGAGCCTCAGTGTCACCTTGCAGAGCAGGAGCTGATCTGCCAAATCCTGGGAAAAGCTGCTTGGAGGGAGGCAGGGACAGCTCCAGGCTGGGCCAGCTCCCTGGGCCTGGAAAATGCAGAGTCACAGCAGCCCTGGTCCTGGGCTGGGGACACTGCCCTGGGCTTGGGGACACTGCCCTGAGCCACTCTGGGGACACTGCCCTGGGCTGGGGACACTGCCCTGGGCCTCTCTGGGCTGCCCTTCCTGGGCTGGGGACACTGCCCTGGGCTTGGGGACACTGCCCTGAGCCACTCTGGGGACACTGCCCTGGGCTGGGGACACTGCCCTGGGCCACTCTGGGGACACTGTCCTGGGCTGGGGACACTGCCCTGGGCTTGGGGACACTGCCCTGAGCCACTCTGGGGACACTGCCCTGGCCTGGGGACACTGCCCTGGGCTTGGGGACACTGCCCTGAGCCACTCTGGGGACACTGCCCTGGGCTGGGGACACTGCCCTGGGCCTGGGGACACTGCCCTGGGCCTGGGGACACTGCCCTGGGTCTGGGGACACTGCCCTGGCCTGGGGACACTGCCCTGGGCCTGGGGACACTGCCCTGGGCCTGGGGACATTGCTCTGGGTGTGGGGACACTGCCCTGGGCCACTCTGGGGACACTGCCCATCCAAACTGGCCCTGGGAAGAAAGCTGAGGGTGGGACCAGGGCTGTGCCCAAGGCTCTGGAGCCTTCTCCTGGGGTCTTTCTGCTCCAAATACCCCGAAATGTCCCCGGGAGCTGCTGCCTGTGGGGCTGGCTCAGCTCCTGGGGTCCCTGGCAGCAAACAGCTCCCTCGGGGACAGCCGGGGCTGTGGGGACATCCTGGAGAGGGCCGGAGCTGGGCTGGACAGCCAGCCCTCCCTGCAGGAGCTTCCCCATCCCTGCCAGTGCTTCCCATCCCTGCAGGTGCTTCCCTATCCCTGCAGGTGTTCCCATCCCTGGAAGCATTTCCCCATCCCTGCAGGTGTTTCCCCATCCATCCCTGCAGGTGCTTCCCCTCCCTGCAGGTGTTCCCATCCCTCCCTGCAGGTGTTCCCAGCCCTCCCTGCAGGTGTTTCCCTGGAAGCGTTTCCCCACCTCTGGAAGTGTTTCCCATCCCTGGAAGTGTTTCCCACCCCTGCAGATGTTTCCTCACCTCTGGAAGCATTTCCCTACCTCTGGAAGTGTTCCCCATCCCTGCAGGTGCTTCCCATCCCTGGAAGCGTTTCCCACCTCTGGAAGCGTTCCCCATCCCTGCAGGTGTTCCCCATCCCTGGAAGTGTTTCCCACCTCTGGAAGCATTTCCCTACCTCTGGAAGTGTTCCCCATCCCTGCAGATGTTCCCCATCCCTGGAAGTGTTCCCCATCCCTGGAAGTGTTTCCCACCTCTGGAAGCATTTCCCCTCCCTGCAGGTGTTTCCCCATCCCTGCAGGTGTTCCCATCCCTGGAAGCGTTTCCCACCCCTGCAGGTGTTCCCATCCCTGCAGGTGTTCCCCACCCCTGCAGATGTTCCCCACCTCTGGAGGCGTTTCCCACCGCCGCAGGTGCCCGTGCCCGTGGCCGTGCCCGAGTTTTGGGGCCGCACCCCTCACCCCCCAGCCCGTGCCCCGCGTTCCGTGCCCCGCTCCCCGGCCCGCTCCCGCTCCGCAGGGCCCGCGCTGAGCGCAGCCCCCGGGCTGTGCGGTCGCTGTCCCCGCAGGCGTTCTTCGAGAGCCACCCGGCGCCGTCGGCGGAGCGCACGGTGCAGCAGTGCTGCGAGAACATCCTGCTGAACGCGGCGTGGCTGCGGCGCGACGCCGACAGCATCCAGCACTTCCTGCAGCAGCGCCGCGCCGCGCCCGAGTGACGGGCCGGCCGCACCCGCCCGGGACGTGGCTTTCCTTTGTTTCCCCTTCCTTTGCTTGGTTCTTTCCCCCTTTTTTTTTTTTTGCCCGTGGGGACTGGACCGTGAATGTAGAGTTTAATCGGTTCCTGCTCACACACTCCAAGAATTTGGGAAAATTCTGTTCGGGAAAAAAAAAAAAAAAAAAAAAAAAGGATGCCAAAACAAAAACCCTTCCATAAAGATACAATGCACCTTCTGGAGACTGGTGCATCCCAAAGGAACCCTTTGGGCAGGTGAGGATCTCTCCCACTCTGCCTTCAGCAGACATCAGATACTTCAGGCCTCTGTGCCTGCTTTGTTGAATGCACATATGCTGGTGAATTATTTTTCCTTAATTGTAAATACGTTACTGACATTTTCAAGCAGCTATTGTGAAACAATGTTGATGGCAGTGCCTTTCTGAAAGTTAAAGGAAAAAGCCAAAACCCAACACAAAACTGGAGAAGAATCCTTTGTGAGAAAAACTTAATTTCTACCATTACAATCTAGGTCTGTGATACTCTTGCATAGTACCCTCCTTACCATAGAGTAAGGAGTGTTGTGCTGAGACTTGTCAATAAGATAATCAGCACAGGATTAACAGCAATGTTTATTCTCAGCCCCATCCTTTTTCTTTACTGTCTCAAAGGCCGCTTGGAAGTTAACAGGCCCTTTCTCTTGACAGATGTAAGTCTAAAAAGACTTAGTAAGAATCAGGGTGGGGTTTTTTCTTATAAATATGGGTTCTGAAACAACAACAACAACAAAAAAAAAAATATATCAGCGATTCTGCAGAAAGAGAGAGAGAGAAAAAAAAATACAAAAACACAAAAAAAAAAAAAGAGAGAGAAAAATCTGTAAATATGATAGTAATAAAATAGAGCATAACAAAACTGTGAAACCTCCTCCAGCCTTGTCAGTGGTTACAATATTTAACCCCCTCCCCTTCCCTGACTTTTGGACAGATGTTCTGGTTTTCACCCCCTCCCTCCCCAGAACAAAGCAGGGGTGCTCAGCTCTGAGGTCACGGGGTGAGCTTTGGGGACGTGTCCCTGACCCCTCCCCACCCCAAGGACGGCAGGGTTCCCCTTTCCCTTTTGTGTCACCTCTGAGCAACAAAAATAAACCCCAAAAAGGCCCAAAACGCCCCCGTTGTGTTTGTGCCGGGTCCCCCCGGCCGCTGTCCCTGTGCAGAGCTCGGGCTTGCTCAGGATCCTGCTGAGCCACGCTGACCCCTGAGCTTTGTGCACTTTGGTTTTCTCCCGTTTCCTCCCCGTGCAGGGGACGGGGCTGCCCTGCCCCCTCCAGAGCATCCCCTGCTCCCTCCTCCATCCCCCTGGAAATTGGGTTCTGAAGCCTTAAATCAGTGATGATGATGAAGATGAAGCTGTGCCATCGCCCCCTCCCACAGCAGCGTGGTCCTACTAACCAGCCACCCTCTAATGCACAAAGGTTGGAGTTCCAGCTTTTTATTTTTGGTTTTTCCTCCCTTTTTCCTTGTTTTCTTTAACAGGAATTCGTACTTGGTGTGGCTTAACTGTTAATTTTCTCGGAAGGTCATCAGATTTAACTTGTCAGACTGCTTCCCCTCGAGACATTTTTGTGCTATTGTTTAAAAAAAAAAAAAGATTACAAAAAAAAAACCCAAAAAAAAACCCAACAAAAAAAGTACAAAATAAAAAAAAAAAAAATCTAAAACAGTTGGCGTTAATAAAAATGTCAATGTGAAATTCATGTCCTCACCTTGTGTTCTGTTTGAAGGCTGAGAGGACCCGAAGCTGGGTTTATTGGAGCCTGAAAGGACCCAAAGCTGAGTTTAATTTAAAGCCTGAAAGGACCCAAAGCTGTGAGGGGACAGCCGAGGCCAAGGTGTCACTTGCAGGACCCTCCTGTGCCACTGGGGCTGGCTTTAGGCTGGCAGAGCCCGAGCAGAGCCTGTGTAATCCGAATAAAAACCTCCCCCAGGCCCTCCAGAACTGCCCAGGGCTGAATTCAGCAGAGAAAGGAGACCCAAAGCTGGGTTTAATTTAAAGCCTGAAAGGACCCAAAGCTGAGTTTAATTTAAAGCCTGAAAGGACCCAAAGCTGTGAGGGGACAGCCGAGGCCAAGGTGTCACTTGCAGGACCCTCCTGTGCCACTGGGGCTGGCTTTAGGCTGGCAGAGCCCGAGCAGAGCCTGTGTAATCCGAATAAAAACCTCCCCCAGGCCCTCCAGAACTGCCCAGGGCTGAATTCAGCAGAGAAAGGAAAGAAAAAAACCTAACAGTGAATAAAAAACGGTATTAAAGAGCCAAAGGTGACAGGATACGAGCGTGGAGGCACGGCCAGGGTGGGGAACACCCCGAAAATGGGAATTTCGAGGCTCTGAGCTCGCATTCCCGAGGCTGGGGCTGGCTCGGGAATTTGCCGCTGTCAGCACCAGCCTGGCCCGGGCTGAGCCGCTTCCATTCCGCTCCCTGCACTCGGACAAAACCGAAACAAGCCCGGGGGAGCCGTGTGGGCACAGAAACAAAACCCCGGCAGCGACGGGGCCGGGAGAGCTGGAGCCCCGCGCAAAGGAACTTTGGGATTGGTCTTGTCCACAGGAAATCTTCGTTTTTATAGCGGGAGACAAAGTGATGATGCTGGGGAGAGGGGCAGGACGGGGACAGGAAAGGCTGAGATGGGGCTCAGGGGGTGATTAATTAACGAGGGAATTGCGGTAATTAGCGAGGGAATTGCGGCTGCCACACCCCTGGCAGTGTCCCTGGAGCGCTCCGGACCCGTCCCTGCCCCTGGCACGGGATGAGTTTCAATCTCCTTCCCACCCAAACCATTCCAGGGTTTTGCCCACGGGATTTGGGAGCGTTCCCGGGGGCTGAGGGTCCCACTAGGGACACGGGAGGGATCCAAGGAGGGATCCAGGGATCCATCCACGCCTGGAGAGCCCCCGCTCCCCTCCCTGGCCCTTTCTGTATTCCCTGCAACCCGGATTTTAGGGAAGGATGGGCATTCCCTGTAACCTGGATATTTTTGGGGAATGATGGATACTCCCTGCAACCCGGATTTTTTAGGGAAGGATGGACGTTCCCCATAACGCGGATTTTTTCAGGGAATGCCGGATATTCCCCGGAGCCCTGGGCGCTCCCATTTCCCCAGCAATGAATAAAATCCTCCCCCGGGGCCAGCACGGGCTCTGCTGCACGGAATTCCCCCGGGAACAGCCGCACTCCGTGGGAATCTGGGCTTTGGGAAGGAGCCCTGCGGGCAGCACGGACCTGCCGGGCAGCTCCTGCTCGGCTTCCAGCCGGGAATTGTCCCGGATTGCCCCGCGGGAGGAAGCTCTGGGAGCTGCTCCTCCTCCTCTGCGTGCCCTGGGCCGGGGGATCTCCTCCCAGCCCCGGGATGCAGACAGCTGTTTGCAGCTGGAATGGGATGGCTGGGGCCAGCTGCTCCCGGGGGTTTCTCACTCCAGGGTTTCCCTGGATCACGGAATCCTGGAATGGTTTGGGTGGGAAGCCATGGAATCCCACCCAGGGCCAGGCCAGCCCCCACTGTCCCAGGCTCCAAAGCCCAGGCTCCAGACCCTGCCCTCTCCCCCCGGGCTCCTCCTCCTCCCGAATTCCCGGGGCTCCGTTCCCAGGATCCCGAATCCCCCGGGAGCGAGGGCCGGGCCCAGGGCGGTGCCCGGCTCTGCCGGTGCTCGCAGCGGCGGGCGGGGCCGGGGCCGTGTCCCGGTGATTGCCGCCCGTCCCCGCGGTCACTAATTGCCGTTACGGCCCGTTAATTGTCCCGCCGGGCTCCAGCTGTCCCGTTCTCCCTCTTTCCCTTCCCGTGCCCGCTTCCCTCGGCTGTGCCCGGTGTCACCCGGCTTGGGGACACACCGGCGTGCGGCGGGACCCCGGTGCCCGTCCCGGGGGCACTCGGAGCGCACCGGAGCCGGTGCGGGGCGGTTCTGGAAGCGCTTCCATCCCCCGGTCACCGGCACCGGCCCGGGGGAACATCCCGCTTCTTGCGGGATGCCCGTGCCGGAGCGACTCTGCAGGGCCGGGCGGACACACCCGGGCACACCGGGACACACCTCCGGCCCCGGGACACCGGACACACCCGGGCACACCGGGACACCGGCGCCGGCTCCGCTTCCCGCGGCGCGCCGAGCACGTGGCCCCTCCCAAGCCGGTTCCGGTGCCGGTGCTTGCCGCGGGCGGAGCGTGGGCGGCGGGGGAGGCCGCGGGGCGGGCGGGAACCGTGGCGGCGGGGAGGCTCCCGGGCACGCCGAGGAGCGCGCTCGGCGCCTGAGGGCCCGGGCGGTTGGGCCGCGGCTGACGCCGGTTTCCCCTCCGCAGACTGCTCGGAGCTCGAGGCGGCGCAGAAGTTCCTGGAGCAGGCGGCCATCGAGAACCTGGTGAGCGCTCGGGGCGGCCCCGGGAGCGGCGGGGCCGGCGGCGGTGGCGGGGCCGGCGCTGCCCCGAGCGCTCCGCGGCGGGGACCCCCGGCCGGGCCCGCCGGCCGCTCCCAGCGCCCGCGGGACCCCTGCTCGCTCCTAGTGCCCGCCGCACCCCCGCCCCGTCCGACTGCCCGCTCCTACCGCCCGGCCCTAGCGGCCGCGGGACCCCCGGCCCGTTCTGGCGCCCGCTCCTACGGGACCCGCTCCCAGCCTGCTGTCGGCGGGATCCCTGCCCGGCCCTGCTGCCCGGTTCTAGCGTCCGGTCCTGCTGCCTGTGGGACCCCCGGCCAGCCCTGCTGCCCCGTTGCAGTGCCCTCGGGACCCCTGTCCGGTCCTGCTGCCGGTGCACCGGGACACCGCATCCCCTGGAGCCCCCGGCCGGGCGGGATCGGAGCTTCGGGAGTCTGGGGAGGAGCTCAGGGGCGTCTGCTGGGGAGGGGAGGTTCTGCTGGGCAGGGGGACTTGCACCCCCCGAGGACCTTACATTTGAGGAAGAAAAGAAGTCTGAAAACAGAAAAGAAAGGGGGAACAAAAAGCCCAGAGCCGCGGGTGCAGTGGCCGTGCTGGAGCGGGGGTTCGAGGCTGCTGCTGCTCCAGAAGGGTTTTTGCTTAGTCAAGGTGTGGGG